TCATAGTTATCCTTTACCACATCCCAACAATCTTGGGCTATGAGGAGAACCTTCATCTGAGCACTCCATCTATCATAACTGACATCCTTCGTCAGTCATGACACAAGAGCTGTAACATTTGTCAAATTAGCCATCTCACTCAAATGCTCAACATTAAAACCTTAGCTCTCCCTAAGAAACCCTCATCTCTCCCTCTTCTAAAAAAAACAACCTAAAAACTCAAACTCTCCTATGGAACAAAGCTCTTCCTAAAATCTCTAATACCATTTTGATAATAAAGAATTTATCAGAATTACATCTCTGTATTTAAACACTCCTAGAGACTCTCTGTTACACTAAACATTTATTTCCTAGAAACCAAAGAGTCCCACAATAAATGCTCATCATTCCTAAACATTCAAAAAACTTTCTAATTCTAAAACTAAAGAGACAAACATTTAAATACCAAGAGACATTTCAATAAAACCTAATTACTTATTATTAATTTTACCTAACAAAACCTAATAGTATCAACCCCCTCTTCATCATGATTTTTCTCAAGCTTCAATCCTACATTTGCAGGTGTGTTGGATTACTTTGTTGCATTCCAAATTTCTTCAGCATATCACAAGCATACTTTGTCTGATGCATAGTCATCCCATATAGAGTTTGCTTGAACTCAATACCCAATAAATAACTCAAATTTCTCAAGTCACTCGTCTCAAACTCCTTTAGAAGTTCATTCTTGCATCAAGCTATCAACTCTTCATTATTGCCAGTAATCAAAAGATCATCAACATATAAGCATATGATGATTTTTTTCAACTCTATTGTTGTTCTCCCATGCTTTTACATAGACTCCATGTTCGGACATATACTTAACAAAACCAATGTTGTCAAGAAAACCACAAATATGCTTCTTCCATGTTCTCAGTGTTTGCTTAAGCCCATATAAGACCTTTTTTCAACCTATACACTTTATGCTCTTCACTTTTATGCTCAAACCACCTAGGCTGCTGCACATAAACCTTTTCTTCAATAGGACCATTCAGAAAAGTTGATTTAACATCTAACTGTTGTAAGGACCAGTTAGCATTCGTAGCAATAGTAACCACCAATATGATGATTTTGATCCTAGCAACAAGTGCATAGACTTCATCATAATCTATTCCAGCTCTCTACAAGAAGCCTTTGGCTATAAGCCTTGTTTTGTATCTTATAACCTCACCTTTTAGATTTACTTTAATTGTATAAACTCACTTGAGTGCGATTGGATTCTTGTCTCGGTGGCAATTTAACAAGCTCCCAGTGTCTAATTCCTTTTGATTGAATCAATCTCCTCCTGCATAGCTTTCCACCAATGAAACTCTCTGCTACTTCTTCGAAAATGATTGACTCAGACTCTGCAATGAGTGCAAAATGCACTAGATTTCTCTCTGCTGACACAACTGAGTCACTAAACACTTCATAATCACGAAGATGAGATGAGAGTTGTGTAACTCTGGATGATCTTCTCACACCATGATCAACATGTCTCGTTATGTTCCCCTAGATTTTCATATTCAAATAATACTTTGGAAGCATTTGAATTCTCTTGGGTGGGTGTCCATGTCCGGCTGGTTGACTCATCAACAAAGACATCCCTACTAATTGACACCTGTTTTGAGATGGGGTCAAATAATTTGTATCCACTTGTCACATGATCACCAATCGGAATTTATGGTGCTCTTTTATCATCAAATTTCTTTCTCGGTTGCTCGGGTACATGCTTATAACACACTGACCCGAATACCTTAAGGTGTGACACATCGGGCTTGACACCTACCTGTCTAAACGTTTGGTGGGAGACTTGTTCATTCAACACATGTGTAATTGTGAGAACTCGCTTCTCCTCAAAAATAAGTTGACAAAGACTTACTTTTCAACATGCAACAGATCATATTCAAGAAAGTTCGATTTCTACACTTAGTAGTACCGTTGTATTGAGGAATGTACAGTGGATTAAACTCATGGATGATGCCTTCTTTCCCACAAAAGACACTGAATTCGACCGAGGCATATTCACCTCCACCATCGAACCGTAACATTTTTATCTTGCTTCCACTTTGTTTTTCAACCATTCTTTTAAATTTTTCAAACACAAACAACAACTTCATTTTTCATTCTCAACAAATAATACATTTTCTTTGTGAGATCATCTATAAAAGTAACAATATACCTATCTCCACCAAGTATTTCAACTTGCATTGGCCCGCAAACATTAGAATACACCATACCAAGCTTCTCAGTTTTTTTGTCAGCCATAAATTTCTTGAACTTTGGTCTGGCCTGCTTGCATTGAATGCATTCTCTACAAACTTCCTCTAGAATTACAATTGAGGAGTCCAGTAACCAGATTCTTGTGACTAAGCTTGTGCAAATGCTGAAAATTCAGATGGTCAAACCTATTATGCCATAACAACTCACTCTTATTATCTACAATGACAAAATATTCATGCCTTTGTGTATTCATACTAATATGAAAGGTTCTGTTTTTAAAAATATTTGCATGAACCACCAATTTTTGGTTTTTATCATATACACTCAAATCACTCTCCTTCATTTTCATGATAAATCCTTTCAGTAAAATTTATTCGAGAATCATCAAGTTTGTCTTCAAACCTGGTACACACATTATCAATAATGATTTCCCTATCATTATGATCCTCCAACACTACACGTCCAACCCCCTCTGCATTGAGACTGTTGTTGTCGGCAAATCTGATTTTTCCTTGATGCATCATTAATCTTGATAAACCAATCTCCCGATCATATGCGTGAAGCACCCCATATCAAGGTACCAAGAAGATATTTCTTCTGAATTTATATCACTAGTTTTGGCCATCGGAATCTAGAAAAGCTTCATCTTGAGCTAACTTAGCTTGATTCTTTGGATTGTTCTTGACACCTTCACCGTCTCAACATTCACGTGCAAAGCGGTCATACTTCTGACAGTTGTAACACTTCACCTTATTTTCGTCAAACTTCCATTCTTTATCATCACTAGAGATGTTTTGCTGCTTCTTGTGATCTTTCTTATTCTTGAAGAGTCTGCTCTTGATTATACATCTTCTGGTTAATCCTAAACTTATGTACTTCAAGAGAATGCTGCAAAGCTTCTACCTCCATCTCCTTCAAGTCTTTTGTTTCTTCAATTGCCACTACAACATAATCAAATCTTTACGACAATGTTATCAGAATCTTATCAACAACTTGATAAATGATTTTGTCTCTATAGGCCCTCATTGCATTAACATGTTCTTGAACTTTATCAAAGTAATCAATAATGGTTTCATTCACATCCATGCTAAGAAACTCAAACTGCCTCCTCAATGTCTGCATCTTGACCTTCTTGTTATTGTCTTCATCTCCATAAGTCTTCAGAAAAATTTCCCAATACTCTTTCGTTGTTGTAGCTTTGGAAATTTTGTTGAAGATTTTTGGTCCAACACATTAGTAAATGAGAAATGTTGTCCAACTTTTGAAGATTCTTGAAGTGCTTCTTGGCTTCTTCTATAGCTTTGTCTCCCAGTGTCTTCAAGCTCACTCATCAACACATTCGTTACATCTTGAAACTCAAAGACAACTAACATCTTTATCTTCCAACCATCAAATTTTTTTTCATCAAACACCACCAATAGTGCACCTTGAATGATACTCTTATTTTAGTCATCTTCAATTTGTAAATCCAAGAACTTCACCAATTTTGATACCTTTAACTCTTTTTCGATATTTTCAATATTGTTTACCACTTAGGAGAATGGTCACACACTACACACACCGAGGCTCACCCACACGTTGACAACAAAGAGTAGAAATTTTCACTACACTAACAAGACAAACTTTACTCTTGATATCATATTAATTCCAATGTAACATTACTCTTGATATCATATTAATTCCAATACAACAGCGTATTGGTTTATCACGCAAAAACAAGAAAATAGAGAACAAAACAAAAAAACAACTCAAAGATAACAATAATATTAATATGTGTAATACATCAATAATTATATATTTTTTATAAACGAATATGTAGATATATAACAATATATTGGAAAAATTTTAAAAGTAACAAAATTAACTAACTTTTTTGTTTTGCCTATTTACTAACATTTTATTCGCAAAATGTAGAAAATTTCTATAAGATATTGAAATTCAAATGATGTACGTCAAAAACTCTAATTTCATTGGTTTACATGTTAACGAGGACCGAGTATTGCCTAACTCAACATCACTCACTTTCAAGTCTACCCCATTTTTTTAGTAAATAAAAAATTGATTACGTAAACAAAATGCAAAGCCGATCTATATTTGAAAAATGGAACTAGATTTGTTTATTTGACATGTTGAAAGTCGTATCAAATGGAGACTAACTCTACAAAATGGAAAGTTTAATAGTTGATTGCTGAACCTCACACGAAGGTAATTCGTAAAGAAAATTGTTGTTCTCGTCTTTTAACTTTCGTACTCCACATTCACACCAATGTATATATAAGTGGTTAGAGTATTCTTAAATAAAATGGTCATATTAAAAAGAAAATATTATCTTATATTGACTCAAGTTCTTCCACACAGTAAGATTTTCGATCACAAACCATTTTGGTCAGCATTTCAATGTCTCAAATGCACATTTGCGGTATATAAACATGTTTTATAATCCAAAAAAAGGTATATGCTTGGTTTTAAATAAATTTAAAAAAAAAACTTTTTTTTTATTTAAAATAAGCAAATTTTCAAAAGAAATGAAGAAAGAAAAAAAAGTCAAAGTACTCTCATTAGTTGAAAGAGTTGTTGTGTTTACAAGTCCAGCGTTGTTTTCGTCTACGACCCCGCGTTGCATATGTGCCTTCGTTACCTAACCTCTCTCTGTTATATTTGCATATTTTATAGTGCTTGCGATTAATAATGTTCAATTCTCAATCACCAAAGTTTCTTTTTCCTCTCCAAATATCATCTATTCTTGGTTATCTCCTTCATTCATGGCACTTTTCACAGCGAGCCAGAACCACTTTCTGGCCCATGAACCCGGTTTGAACCGGTTCAGAGTGGTTCGAGCCCAACAACATATGCTTCTCCTTGATCACCCGAAAACCAAGACCGCCAATAGGGCTACACGTTTAGCTGAATCACTTTCACATGTCCTTAACCTACACCTTCACCCCACTTCACACAAACCTTTAGACTTGCTAAGTGTTCACGAAGAGAAACACTCTACTCCGACCATGTCTCCGAGAGAGAACATATCCGAAAAGTGGCGTGAAATTCAAGGATTTTCCGATTGGGAGGAGATCCTAGACCCTCTTGACCCGTGGTTGCGTAGAGAAATTGTCAAGTATGGAGAATTTGCGCAAGCAACCTACGATGCCTTTGACTATGATTCTTTCTCGGAATATTGCGGGAGTTGTCGTTACAACCGAAGCAAGTTATTTGAGAGATTGGGTCTTGATAAAAATGGTTACACAGTGACGAGGTACATATATGCCATGTCTCACGTAGAGCTGCCACATTGGCTCGAGAGATCACATGTTGCTGACACGTGGAGCAAGGATTCGAATTGGATGGGTTTTGTGGGTGTAAGTGACGATGAAGAGACACGTAGGGTTGGGAGGAGGGACATCGTGGTGGCGTGGCGTGGCACCGTGGCACCGTGTGAGTGGTACGAGGATTTTCAAAGGAAGTTGGACCCAATTGGGCATGGAGATGCCAAAGTTGAACATGGGTTTCAAAGCATCTATCGTTCCAAGAGTGAGGCCACAAGGTACAACAAGTCAAGTGCCTCGGAACAAGTCATGAAGGAAGTGACAAGATTGGTGAAGTTTTATAAGGAAGAAAAAGGTGAGGAAGTTAGCATTACAATCACAGGACATAGTCTAGGAGGAGCTTTGGCTTTGCTCAATGCTTATGAAGCAGCAACTACATTTCTAGACCTTCCAATAAGTGTGATCTCTTTTGGGGCACCAAGAGTTGGAAACATTGCCTTCAAAGAGGAATTGCACCAAATGGGGGTGAAGTTGCTGCGTGTTGTGGTGAAACAAGATTGGGTGCCAAAAATGCCAGGGCTTTTGTTCAATGAGAGGCTAAAAATGTTTGATGAACTTACGGGGCTAGAATGGGTTTACACACATGTTGGGGCTGAGTTGGAACTGGATGTTCATTCATCTCCTTATCTGAAAGGTGGGTTGAACTTGGTTGGGTTTCATAGTTTAGAGACATACCTTCATCTTATAGATGGGTACTTGAGTTCGGAGACACTGTTCAGGTCAGAAGCAAGGAGGGACGTTGCACTAGTTAACAAGTCATGTGATATGCTTGTTGATGAGCTCAGAATTCCACATTCTTGGTACCAATTGGCCAACAAAGGATTGGTTTGTAATGCTCATGGACGATGGGTTAAGCCCGAAAGAGACCCGGATGATATTCCTTCACATGCTTGTCAAGTGTACAATGATCATCTTGGAATTGTAATGTAAACATATATATTACATGAATTTGGTAACCCAGATGTAAATTTGTGTTCAAAATTTAATGTTTGACAATTTAAGAGTTTGAAGGTCTAGATAAAAATGAGAAAGTCCAGGAATTGAGAAAAATCTACCAACTAATTTCTTAAGATTTTAAGATAAAAGTGGAATCATATTTTTTTTTATAGGTGTAACCTCATCTTCTTTTAACAACATTTTCTTTTCTAGGAGTTTAGGATTTTAAAGATAAGCTCAAAGCTAGATATTTCAGAGAATTAATGGCCAAGTTACGCTTTAAATTTACTTATTGGAAGGATAGGTTACTTATTATGATGGGACACATACAATTAATAATTTTTGTGATTGACCTTTGTCATAAGTAAATTGAATATTGAATAAAAAAAATTATTGAAGGAATGGGAGAAAGTTTGTAGGTCTAAAGAGAAAAGGAAACTGATGTTCTCTCTGTTCATAGTGAAAATTAGTCTTCAATCCTTAAGTTAGTTTGGGACAGTTTTACGAGTAGTAATAATTGTACTATACATCTCAAAGTTAGATTTCTAAAAGCAGGACATGTAATTAGAAACTACAGGTCTTCTTCAATGGAATGGCTTGAGATTGTTAGACAGTTTTATATGGTTAAGGAAAACTCCTCTTGGATTATTAGAAATGGTAACAGTGTGCAGTTCTATGTGTGGTCAAGTCATCATTAGCCTTTCCCTCAATATCTTACTTTTTTAAAACAGGTCCAATGTAGTTGGTTATTGTTTGTAGCAAGGTGATATGGGATAAAAATATTTCACTTGTGCTTTGGAAATTACATATAAAAGGATGAATATTGATACTGCAACTAAGGATAAAATTCATTATGTTTTATGTGCATTTTACAGGAATCCATTAAACATCTCTTTCTTCAGTGCGAAACATCTCATAAATTCTAGAATTAGGATAAGAAGTATTACAAACTTCTATTTCTCTTTGATCAATTGAATCCCTACTCAACTTTTTGTAGTGAATACATTTTTAAGGTTAAAGACAGAGTTGTTATTATAATTATTAACATTATATGAAGAATGAGGAGTGAAAGTAGATTTAACAAGTTTTTCATTTATGATGTTGTCTTAACTTTGGTTAAGAGCAATGTTGTGCTTAATGGCTCACTCTCTAAATGATGAAAGAAGAACAAGATCAAAGAATTCCGATTGTTGAAATACTTTAATATTGAGATACAAGCACATACTTTTGTCCATGTGTCTCATTCTTTGGCAATTACCAAACTGTGGCGTGGTGAAATGTAATATTGATAGTCATGCCAGCCAGAGGTTCGCTTGTATTAGTTGATGCTAAGGGAATATTTCGTGACTCTATTGAAGAGTATATGGAAGGATTCTCTTCTTTTTTTCATTGATATTTCTTTCGTTGTTTTTGCTCAACTTGAAGCAAGTTTCCTTTACATTGAGACAACTTTATTTAAAGGATGACATTGACCATGAATAGAAAGCAACACTACCTTAGTAATTAGGGTGTTTCAACATATGGAGAAAATTAGAGGAAGATGGTATAAGTACATGAAACTTTGTAAAATTATGTGTACATTTACGAGGGTAACAAATGTGTTGATATATTTGCTAACTTAGGCATATCCACAAATTACAATCTGGAATTCATTTAGAGTATAAGGATTCTGAATTATTTGTTTGCATGGGTTTTGGTTTAGTCCACCCCGTGTTTTTTCTATTTTATTCTTTGTTTGATGAATTTTGGGTGCAATGGATAAACAAAAGTGCTGTACTAACCTATTTAGGATAACACTTTTCCCAATTATATCTTGTATAATAACATGTTTATTCAAAAAATAAATAAATAAATATTTAGAGTTGTCAAAAAGGTAGGCACTCCAATTTGATAAAATAATTAATGATTTAACTTAGTTTATATTAAAATAAATCATAATTATTTTTAGTCTAATCTTATATTAGGTCAAAAGATCAATATTAATATGATTGAAAATTAAATAAAAACAATATAACATGTTTAAATAAAATTAATTACTTCAAAATAATAATAAAATAAAAAATATTTTTAAATTTTAAATTACATAAATGAAATTAACTTTCATTTAAAATGTAATTATTTAATACATAAATTAAAAAAAAATTAATTCACTCACCTCAAAAATAAAAATTAAAAACTTATTCTTCATTTTCAAAATTTATTTTTTAGTGATATAATGGTCTAAAATAGTATTTCATGTTAACCATTAAATTGGTGTTAGAAAACTACTTTTACACTTAAAATAAATTATTCCTTTTTAAATTAATTTATAATTTATATTACTTTTATTTTGATTGTCTAAACATATGAACTAACATAATCTAAATTTATTTAACCAAGAGGCTAGTCATACCAAACTTAGTTTAATCCCATTTATATCAAATTTTTTTAATTTAACATAATCTATTTCTCAAGTACTTTAATCTTAAATTTTAGGTCAATCGATCATGTTAAGATTATTTTTTCAACTTCACCTTTATTCATTACTCCTTAAGAATATATAATGTGTATGAGTGAGTATATAAATCATATATCCATGATTTGTTTTTCTAATTTTTTATACGTCACTTGTTTATTACATGTTGATTTGTTACAATTATTATTTCCTTTTCTTACCTTTTTTTTCTTCTTCCAAACTTTGTCTTCTTCAAACTAAATCCAACCAAAATAAAACCAAACTTTATCTTTATTGGGTGTGATTTCGGTTGTGCATGACTTAGAGAAAACGTGATTCTTTGTGAGTAGATTCGGGTGAGTAATGTTTCATATGAAATGTTTTTATAAACTTGGTCAAATCTACAAGTGTAAGGTATTGATTAATGATTGAATATGCAATAAAGAAATGTAAGCTTAAATATATTTTTTTCTTTCCTTTTTATCTAATTAAATTTAAAAATCATTGTGTTCTGATATTTAGTATTATATGACCATAATTTGTTAAACAAAAAATTAATGCCGTGATACAAGTGACACCTTTAAAAAAAACATGTAAGATTTATAAAGTAGACGTTATTCATCTACTCAAATATGAATTTTAGGAATGATGAAAATCAAAGAATTTGAAGCATTAAAACTATAAGTTACTCATATAAGAACTAATATTAATGATTTTAAATTTTACAAAGATAAAAAAAAATCTAGAGGAATCAAAATCAACACTAGTTCATTTAAAAAAAATAAAAAATATGTAAACCTAATTATATAAAAAAATCTCTCCATTTTCCATTCTCGATGAGAATGTGTGGTGGTTTGAGAGGTGAGAGTGTTTCAAAGCTATGATTGAATGGGGTGTTGGGAATTGATTTTGGAAACTGAAAACATGACACAAAATGTTCGTTGTCTTGTTGAACTGAAGTTTGGTTTAATCATCTTTTATTGGATACTTTGACAGATGAGTGTGACATAACTTAATTCTCGTTATACTATAGTGGGTTGTGCGTTGAATCAAGATCAAATTCTGGTTGTCTGGAGAATATATCTGCTAAGTGTAAAATTAAACAACTATGATGTATACATACTAAATACTCTCAATTTAGCGATAATTTTTTCAAATAGAGTTTACCGTCAGCTTCTGAATTGATCATAAATCTTGCTCCTCATTCTAGTATTTTTACCGTTTGCATACAGAAGGATCTTTGCTCGTATCTGTCTTTTTCTGAAAGAGTTAAATACAGGTAAAATTAGATTTTAGTGCAATTTAAGTCTGCATGAAAAGAACAAAACACTATCACACATGTTTAGTAACAACTAAAAATGGAACCAATATCATGTCTTAACGTGGCTTAGGGTAAAAACTATTCTCTGTTCCCATTCAAAGAGATGCAATTATATAATTACTATTAAATTTATGTAAATGATAAGATAAACATTAAATTTGACACAAAATACATGACAGTGGGAAGAAAGATAAGAACAAACCTTGTTTTGTTGATTCTTCAATTGCAAGGGATGGGGATCATGGGATCTGATTCTGGCGTTATCTATACAACTTCCATTATTTACTCGATGTAGTACGTGCTTCTGCTTTTTATACTTTTCACCCTTATCTTTGACCTTTTTTATCTTCCTCTCATGATCTCTAGACCGTTTCTCTAACTTGAGCAGTGAATTTGGCAGCCCCTTCTGGCCAGTGTACAACACATTGACATAACATGTCTTTTAACATAGAAATGAAGCGTGAATTTGAATTATTCAGTTTTCTTTAACGAAAGAATCAAACATGCAGCCAGAGAAAAGATTAAAATCTTACAGAAGAAAGGTGGACCGGATTCATTTCCCTCATATGGAAAGCTTCACTTAGTATATCCAAGTCAAAAGGACATAAGCAAGCTTTTTTCTCGCTTGGGTCCGGGATCTGACAGAGCTGATCCAGTTCCATTCCTTCTCCTTTCCTCACTTTTGTGTCACCCACCACATTGTGAAGATAATGTGTCTCGGAAATTGGAACTGGAAGTGGCTTCTTGCAGAAGAATTCATAGTAGGGCCAAAGTCTATATTGATTTATGAGATCACAAGTACCTCCAAGTTCTCTATTGCCTGATTCCAAGAAATAACCTTACTAAAACAAAATATACTGGAAGAAATATGCATTTCATGCATTCATTGCACGTTTTAAAAAAAATAAAAGAAACCGAGGAACCATCGAAATCAGTGTTCTGACAAATTAACCAGCAGCACTTAATAACAAATAATATAGCATGTGACATACCATTTTAGTCACAAAACATTTTAATTGTTTTTAATACCTATATATACTACTTTTAATCAGTTTTAGTCCCTACAATCTAAACTCCTAGGGACTAAAAGAGATTAAAAATATTATTTGTAATGACTAAAAGGGATGATTTTTAAATGTAGGACAAAACGGTAAAGTTTGTTTGACTGTAAGAACCAATTAAGTTGTTACATCTAACTATAAAATCAAGTTCTTGAAAATGTGGTTGATGGTTTAGTGAGAGTTTGCCCTTCTCTTGAAAATAATTGTGGTTACAAGAATCCTGATACCTTCGTGCATCTTTGTTTCCCAACCTAGCCATGTTAGCGTCAGCTCCATTATAATCATTTGATTTTTTAACGAGCTTTTCTTAAAATGATGAAATCAAGTTTCCAACCACTTTTATGGTTCCAGTCACATGATGCTTCAAACAATAAACACCTCCCATGACAGTATTTGAACTGGACCCTTTTCTTGTATCCCCATCGACTGAAAACACTGTTTCCAGCCCACAACAGTACTCATTTCAGCAGTGCACTTTAGCTGCAGATTCACATGCTCGGGTAACTGCATCTTTGGCAGATAACTAGCTTTGCAACCTGCCACTGCCCCCAACTCCTCCCGTTGTAGCCATCTTTCTTCAATTCACAATTATGTTTGAATGCAGAGATTAACACAAAACAGGGAGTAGAGACTGGGAGTTAGAGAAGGCAGAGAAATTGCATAACCAGAATCAGTAGAAGTTAGAACAGAAGATTGCAGGAAGCACTCGTTCCCACTTTGCAGAAAGTTAATCCAAAGCTTGCCAAGCTTGCCAAAGTTAATCCAAACAGAATTTGATAAAGAATGAAATCGTTTTGCCTACCTAGAATAATAAAATCTTAAGGGTTAGCTCAAGAATTTGACAATCATGTGTGACAGTTGTGGATGGCAGAAAAGGACAGAAATTTTAGGATTGCAGTGAGATGATTCTGACAAGGAAATCCAGGTCTGATTTCCTTGCTGGGAATGCTAACACATAGGATTGTTCAATTCTACGAGTTAACACAATCCTAACAATATTGATTCATCTTTTGGGAGATCCATGTGTAATAAGAGTGAAAACTATTTTATTGTCTATCTAATCCATCTGAGTATAGAGAAAGCACTAGCTCCACAACTGCATTTTGCCATATGCTATAGAATAATCCCTGCCTTTAAAGGCACTAACTACCAAGCAATTGAATTGTGATGCTTCATTTCAAATAACTTCACCGAAAGGGAATTCATCATGAGCCCTGCTTCAATACATTCTCGGTTATAGATTGCTTGGAAATGTTGCTTTTAGGTACTTTCACTTAAGTACTCTCTGGTGAATCACATCTTATGTGATAAATCCTACCCTTTCAGCTTTGCGATTTCATTGGGAAGATTTTTAATCCTCTTGCACTTTTTTCCTTCATATTTAATAATATGTATTTTTCTGTCCAAAAGACAATATGAGAATACTAATGCCCAAACAGTCTCTAGAAAACAAGTTAAAATAGATCTGCAAGTCAAACTATTCAGCATTAAAAAAATATCTATGGCTCTTTACCTAACCACCTAATTCCAGTTTTTAGATGGCCTATTTCCCACACATGATTTAGCTCCTCATCAAGAAAGAAAAAAATTATATATAATAACATAGAAAATATGTCTAATGGTGTGTAATAATGCTTACTCTCTCTACAAACATTGACAGAGATTATCTTTCCTGAAGATAATTACATCACAAATTTAACATGGTAAATGTCAGCACTAACAGTTTTTCTTTAATTTTTAAAAAGATAAAGAAATTTGTCTTGTATTAATTGTTGAGAATAGGAGTATAATAGAAAGGGAAGGACGGAGAAAAGGAATTCAAACTTTAATCATAAATCAACTGAACATTTGTCAAGATTTTACTAGAAAATAAAGAACAACCAGTCATACTTTCTTTTACCCAAATGGTCATACACATGTAATTATAAGAAAAGTGAATTTGGGAAAAGGGAACAACTTTATCAAATAACCCCACAGAGTAAATAACAAACTAACATACATAATAGAGCCTGAACACTCATTATCTAGTCATCAGTGACCTAATGTCAAAAAAAAAAGGTGGCCACTCACACTTATACATGTTAGAGCAAGCCCTCAACAGGGTTTTCACAAATGACCATCTCATGATCATAAGTTCCATTAAGCTCCATTTGCTATATCACTGACTTTAAACCTCACGAAATTCTCCATTCGTGAGACTCCAATAAACAGTGAACCACAAAATCCGGAAAGTTTTGCTGTAAACATTTACTGTGGTACAGAAAGCTCTTCTAACTATCAATATTCTGTTTTTAAAAATCCATTCGTATAATAGGGAATCATAAAAGAAATCTAATTTGCATTCTGTCAATGATTCCAGTGCGTATGCTCCATAGTAAACCATATGCTTTCACAGTTTCCAGCTAAACTATTCTAACAAGGTAATCACAAGAACAGGAAAATCCAGTTCTGAGTAAATACAATCATTTTGCACATCCACATTTTCAATAAAAGTAGAAAAACAAACAATCAATAAGCTACATATCACGTTCTTACCCCTTCCAAATTTTCTGTCTCCAAGATCCATCTTTCTGATGACCTTACAACATGCACATCACGTGCATCTACCAGCCAGAATTAACAAATACATCCACATCCTACTGGAAGTCACTGCTTGAAAATATTGACAAGTGAGGGAAGTTTCTAAGCATTGGAATTGTACACTCAACAAAATATGGGACTAGAGTTCCTTATCTAACACATAATTGATATATCTTGAAATATAGTAAAAGGATGCATCAAACTATCTCAGACAATAAACCCATCCGAGAAAACGGTGTTTCCAACTCAAAAAAGATCCACCCTAATCCCTAAATCCATTATCATGTAATAAAGTTAAAAACTTTACACGTTCAGAGGAAATTAAAAAAAAAGAAGGAGCAACAGATGTAGAAACAATCCAATACAAAGCTCTGGAAATGAACACGAGGAAAATACCTGAGAACAAAGCAGAGAGAGGTAGCGATCGAGATGGAGGAGGATTATTGTTTGCAAATTTTGAACCAAAACAATATTTTGATCTGGGAACACACGACAAAAAGCTCCCGATATTTCATTTCGTATTAAAAAAAAAAAAAAAAAAAAAAGACAACCTACGAAGGGTAAATCAGAACTGGTGAGTAGAAAAAGGCGAAACCAAACCTAACTATGTTATATAATAGTTTAATGTAGAAAAATGTGTTAATTTGAATAGATTTTTTCTTCTTTGTTTTTTTACCAGAAACCTAGAATCAAATTTACGACATAACCTTTGAGTTAATTTTATTATATATTTAATTTTGTATTTTAAAAAATATATATAGAATTATATTATAATGGTTATTATTTATTATTTATTATTTATTTTTAAAATAATAATATTTTCTCAAATCAAAATTAAAAAAGTTTAACTTTTTTCTCGTAAACATTTAAAATATCTTAGAGACGTGAATAATGGATAAAAATTGGAGTGGTGTATTCAAATATTTTATTTAAATCATTATTTTTATTGAATAACATTTTTTGAGTGAAGAAAAAATATCATTTATATTATGAAAAATTTATTTTGACCGTTGTAAGGTTAAAAAATTAATCGTAAGAGCAATATAAAAAAAAATTCAAGAAAACTATAGTATATTTTTTTAATAAAATCTTAAAGTTTTTTCTATGGAGATCATGACTCTTGTGAATCTTTTCTCCTTTTCCTTATTTTTATGTTTATTTTTTTCAAAATTAGAAAAAAAAAAGAATGGACAAAAATACTTTTTAATTTTTTGGACTCGATAAAGATGGACATTTTTACTCTTATGTATTCTCGTCCAAAATGATAAATCGAGATTACTGTAGTTCTTTGTAAAAAAAAAAAAAAAAGTAGGTGTGTTATTAATGTTTTGAAAATTTGTGTTTTAGAAAGAGTTTTTATAAATTTTTGGTGTTTTTGAAGAAAATTTATATTTTCATGGTTTTTACTATTTTTGGAGACACATGATAACGCGTGTGGCGATCACACCCGTGTTTCAAAAACTTATTTAAAAAAGATGAGGATATGATGACGCATGTGGTCATTAGGGATGAAAATTTAACTCGAATCCCGGAGATCGATCCATCTCTGTCCCAAGTTTGACGGAAAAAAGCTGAGTTCACGGGGTAGGTTTTCTTCCTTTTAAAAAATCGGGAGCGATGATGGGTAATGCAATCCTCATCCCGCCTACGTCGACTTTATATTTAAATTTTAAAATAATAATATTTTAAAAGTATTTCCTTTTTTCATTACATAAGATAATTTTTTTAATATTTATTATTATTATTTCTCTTCTACCCACTTTTTAATTTTTTAATATTTTATATTAATTAATTCATTATATTATTTTCTTTCTCTTCCCTTTTACTTTTCTACATTTACTTAATCTGCAATCAATTTATTTTTTTCAAATTTTTCAACAAATTTAATGAACATAAAGTTATTTTTTCTTATTCTTTATCTTTTTTTCTAAATATTTTACATAAATATTAATAGTAATAAATATTATTTTACTTATAATTTATCTTTATTAGCTTTTATTATATCATTTTTTCATCTTATTATTCTTATTTCACATATATCAAATTTTATCTTAATAAAATAATCATATTTTAAAGGATTAAAAAAATTGATAATTTAAATTTTTATTATTTCGAACTTGTTAGATATTGTTTAGATATAGTTTGGTATTGTTAAGATATTGTTAGATATTATTAACCACAATATCAAACAATATCTTCTGTTTATTTTGTTTACTTTCGGTTACTCTTTTAGTTGCACCTCTATATTATAAATAGATTACGCTATGTGTGATTTATACACAAGGGAGATTAATTTCAAAATATATTTCCTCTATATTCAACATGATATCTAGAGTTTAAGGTTATCTTGAATTTTTTTTTTCGCCTTTTGTCTACTGCTAGAGCCGCCCCACCGCTACTAGAGCCGCGCCCCACCACTGTTGGTAAACTGATCCTCCACATCAGAAAAGAATTATCTTTGTTACTGAATTTTATTTGGTAGTGTGAAAGTGCATGTCTAGGAAAGTTCTGGCAAGGAAAGACTTGGTATTTAAGTGTGTCCATTAGTGACCCACCTCTCTTTCCTGGGAACTTACCTGGTGTACTGGTTCACGTTGCTGTCACCGCTGCCGCTGGAGCAGTCACCGGATCCGCCGCTGCCGGAGAATTCGCCGGAGTTTCATTTTTTGACCGGTGACATATGATTTTGCTTGTCTCGGTCAGGTCACCACCGTGCCGTTGAGATCATCACTATCGGAGTTGGTCGTCCCGTTGTCTCTTGTGTCGTTTAGTCTTAGCGAACTTATTTTTAGTATTATCATTTTGGATTTGTGCTTCGTGGGTTTGGAAGTCCCACATCGCATACCTCATGTCATTTTGTATGGTTTAAATACATGTTAGGCTACTCCACATATTGCCAATTGGTTTTATGTTGGAACCTTAACATGGTATCAGAGTCAAAGCCTAACATCTTTCTGGTTATTGTCTTAGGCCAAAAGTTGCCCTTTCGTTGGGTCAAAAATGACCCTTTGCCTGGTCCAGCAGGCTTCGTTGGAGGGGGTGTGTTGGAAGTCCCACATCGCCTACCTCATGTCATTTGGTATAGTTTAAATATATGTTAGGCTACTCCACTTATTGTCAATTGGTTTTATATTGGAACCTTAACAGAACTAATTAAATAAGAACTAACTTATTAAATATTTTTTATAAACTATATATTTCATATTTTTAAATAATAATTTCAAAAATATTAATATATATATATATAATCAAATGTTTAAATAAGTATTGTATTATAATAATAATATTATTATTATTATAAATATTCTACATTTGTATAAAAAAATAATTAAATGTTTCTTTCACATATATATTTTAATATAAATATAATAAATTAAAATATATATTTAATTAATAATAGTTACAAATTATAAAATTATAAATATTTATTTATGTACAAAAAATATATAAAAATAGTAAAATTAATTTATTATAAATATAATTATTTTTAAAAAAATAATATAGATCAATAATGAAACGAGGATAAAGAAACTCGAAACTCAAACTACGTGAGTAACCGTATTTGTACCTTAAAATTTATTTTAAAAAAGAAGACATGTTGATGAGTGATTGTACACGAACCTCATAACTTATTTTTAAAAGAGAGAGTGATCATACTTGTACCTCCAAATATATTTTAAAAAAGGAGAGGACATGATAATGTAAGGAGTCATCTTTATACTTCTAAATTTATTTTGAAAAAAAAAAGGATATGACGACGTAAATGGTCATACATATACCTTAAAACTTATTTTAAAATAACAAACATGATGATACGAGCGATCGTACTCATGTCTTAAAATTATCTCAAAATTTATCTAAAAATAAAAGAATTAAATTTTAAAAATAAAAAAATTTGAATTTTAAAAATAAAAAAATTGAATGTGTCATACTCGTACTTCAAATATTATTTTAAAAGATAAGATGATGTGACCGACTCGTACCCATATCTTAAAATTAATTTAAAAAAAAATGTTTGAATAACCTAAGTCACGGATGACTGACAGTACGCTAAAGCAAATAACGTAGGACCAATACCTCTAGATCGAAGCACAGGCCGACAATAACACAAGCCCGATGGCCATTAAAGCAAATAAGGCGAGGTCGATGGAAGTCCGTAATCGACAACCACGAAATGCATAAAATAAGAGTCAACAGCCACAATTATCAGCTTTCAACCACATGACACACAGGATAATAATTGAAAAACATAGAATTCATTCTATATTTTTATTCATATTATTTTTGTACACATATATTATGATCTTATAGTATTTTACTCTAACAAATCAGGACTAAATATAGGAAGTTCTGATTATACAATATTTTGTACCACTATACAAACCTATAATTTAGCTAATCAAATATCTTTATCCCAACACTCCCCCTCAAGTTGGTAAATGGATGTCATACATTCCCAACCAATCCAATAATCTCCTAAAAATCTGACTTGTCACAGCTTTGGTAAGAATGTCTGCCAGCTGATCTTCAGATCGAATATTTGGCAATTCCAAAATATTTTTATCAAGCTTTTCCTTGATGAAAAATCTATTAACCTCCACATGCTTCATCCGATCATGTTGGACAGGGTTGTGAGCAATGTCGCGTGCAGCTTTGTTATCACAATACAACTGAATGGGACGTGTACGTGCATACCCTAAATCCTGGAGAAGTAGTTTGAGCCATAAACCTTCACAAAGTCCAAGAATCATTCCTCTAAGTTCAGCTTCTGCACTGGATCTAGCTACACCTTTCTGCTTCTTGTTTTTCCATGTGACAAGATTACCTCCTACAAATGTAAAGTATCCAGAGGTTGATCTTCTATCATCAAGAGCAGCTGCCCAATCTACATTAGTATAAACCATTACATCCTTGTAGTTGGAATTCTTCTTGAACATAACTCTTTTTCTAGGAGCATCTTTTATATACCTTAAAATTCATATAACA